GGGATGATGCTGGTGATATCAGCATAGGATGACAGTGAACAGTTCTGTGTTGGAGAAACAGGAGAAAAGGATCTGGAGGCAATGTGATAATTAAAGATCATCTGATAGAAGATGAAAGCAAAACAATTGTTTTAGGCCTGGATCTGTATTCAGCAGATTTCATTGTTATTTAATTTGCCTACATAACGTTGCTTTCTGCTCAATAGAAAGTCTTTGATTTAATATACCAACAGCCAGGAGCAGCCTAGCACTGCAACAAGTTCCTTCACTTTGCTCTCAGGACTTTAAGCAGACATTTGCAATTTAATAGCATATCAAAATAATATAAGAGCAGGGTTAAGTTCCATTCCCGTGTGTGTGTGTGTGTGTGTGTGTGTGTGTGTGTGTGTGTGTCTGTGGTGGATGCTGTTTTGTTTTGTTAAGGAACAGCTTGAGAATGAAGTCTCCACAAGTAGCATTTCCTGAGGATAAGAGCAATAGTAAATTTATGCTGATTATCCCTTAAATAAGAAAAATGATAAAGCATTTGATTGTGTTTTCTCTTTTTGAGTCTCTTCTCTGGACTACTCAGTTTTTACTGCGGGGTGCAGAACCTGGCGGAAGTGAGTCAGGGAGGGGACTGGACTGAGGAGGGGCTGAGAAGCGCTGCGCGGGGAGCAGCATGGGAGCGTGCAGGCCCGGCCAGGAACCTCAGTGGGCTCATGCGGGCAACCAGTGGAGACTCATGGTTTGCCCCAGTTTCCCTGAAGGTCTTTAGTGGGAACTTCCATTAGAGCCACTTCACTTTTATTTTAAGCCTCTCTCCAGTCATCTTTTGAAACAAGTATTTTGTGTCTTAAAAAAAGGTCACATGTTAAGAAGATAAGCAAGAGTCAGACATTTATGGGGCTTTCGTACTTGTTGAAGTATTTATGTTTCCTAAAAAAGATGGGATAATAGAATGGGCATAATGAGACCCTGGGCAGAGAGCCCATGGGAGGGAGACTACTGCAGATACCCACAAAGGAGACACACAGCTGGGGTGGAAGAAGGGCTAGTGACCAAAAGGGAGTCATGAAGCCCGGGCCCTGGTGACAGGATGTCATGGCTGATTCGATGTGGGCATAATGAGAGGCTGTTTAGAAGTACCACACTTCAGGGCTGGTAGGGTGCCATTCTCCTAAAGAAGGTTAAGTTTCCAGGGGACTGCAATGCGTCCAACCTGCAGGAAGTTGAGTTTCATGTGCGTCAGGGCACACCCAAGCGGAAGTGACCAATAGGTAATTGATATGTGGACCTATAGTTGAGATCTAAGATAAAATAGAGGGGAGTGGGGTAGTGCTTGAAGCTATGAATGTGTTGGGGTCTGTAAGGCAGTGTGAATAAAATGAGGAATGGCTGAAAACAATCCTAGGGACCAGCATCATTTAAAGGGTAGGTGATGGGTAGCAGATTCTAGGAAGATGCCCAGAAAAGATGGATGATCGGACAGACACCAGAGAAGGAGAAATGTCACGGAGAGATTTGGATGGCAGGGGCAAATGCCACAGAGGATCAAGTTCAGGAAAGAATGGAAACATTTGGCAACAAGGTTTACTTAGAATGGGATGTGTCTCTGAAGTGGAGACAGAGTTCTAAAGTTTTCAAAAGTGATAACAAAAAAATGGTTTTAAAAGCAACCATTTCATAACCGCGGCTTTGGAGTTTGTTATTGCAAAGCACACGAAAAGTAAAATTCAGCCAAACGCATAGTGATTTTAATGTCTCAGTTTTGGCCTAAAAAAATGTGTTTTTTCTTTCTTCCTCTATAAATATGCCAAAATAAGCCATAAAGCTATGACTAATTTATTAACTGTTCGGTGTTAGTTTTTGCCACATTTGACTTGTATCTGCCATATTTGAAAATTTTGAGGGTATTAAAGATTATTATAATGGAAAAATAAAATCTAAGCTTGCTATGAGAAGAACTCCAGTTGCAAGAATATGTAAGCAAATCCATATGAACAGAGTTATCTACCTGCTCTTCTGCTAGTTCCCTCTTAGGTGAAATGGTTGTGCACCCGCCAGGCTGTTACCTTGAGCAAATCACACTATTGCAACTCAGTTATCCTGTCTCTAACATAAAAAAATAGGTGTACTATTTTTTTCAAGTACTCTACTTTTCAAACCGCAGACCACAATGGATTCATGAGCTTTGAGAAGGGAAATATAGAGTATGCTCCACGCAGTGAGGAAAGTTGTTTTGAACTAATGTAAAATATATTTTTTTACTGTGGATTGTGGTTTAAAAAATGTTTGAGAAACACTGCTTTCAATGAGAGAGCCTTCCTATCCTAAAATTCTCTCATTCCAGTGAACTATCACACTATTCTTTTGATGTAGTAAATGTTTCCTAACAATTCCTTGGAGTGGCAGGTATAAAAACTGTTAAGGGATGACAGCTAATAACAAAAGGGAAAAACATTTAAAAGTAAATAAGGCCAACATCTGTGTTGTATTTGACCACAAGACTGAACAAGCCTTTAAAATTTATTAGTATGCCGAGTAGCAAGTCATTACTGTAATTTATGAAGTAAAGTTAAAGTGTGCTGTATATTAACAAACAATGGAGTAATTCTTTTGATGGTGGTATAAATAGGCAACCATCTCAAGGAGAAATAATACTTTTTCAGAAGTTACAATACCATGGCACATAAATTCCAGAATTGGGAATTAAATAATGTGGTAAGTCTCTTCTGCCTTGCCACATAAAAAGATTCATTGACATGGTTATGAGACAAGTCAGTGTATTTTTATTGGCCTGAACTAGAGGGAGTAAACACCTTAGTCAGGTGTTTTGTTTTAGAAACAGCTGTTTGAACTTCCCCTACTGGTTAACTCAGCTCTAGGATGTATTTGAACATTTGCTTTTTCCAGCATGCCTACTGATACTTAGACTCCAAGTGACTGAGCATTTCCTATAAAACCAGGATTCAGTGAGAATTTTTCTCTATTATTTGTAAATTGTTTTTAGTTCTTCTACAACCTATGGAATTTCAGAGATTTTAGGTGGCATTAAACAAGGAAAATTTAAGAACACAAAGGAGCATGAATCTTCATAGAGGAAATTTGGAGGAAATGTTTTCATTCGTCCCTCCCTGAGCAGCTCTTGGACTCTCGGCTGGCCTCTGTGTCTTCCTTTCCTCTCTGTCTTTCTGTAAACCCTACGGTGTTTGCTTTGCCTCTTTACCAACATAATCCCCCACTTTGGGCAACACTGTTCTGTGCCTCCCCTTCCCACTGCTGGTCAGCTGGCAGAGAAGGCCTAGGCAGGAGAGGAACGGACACCAGCAATGCCTCCTGCCATACTTTCTCAAACCCTCCTCTGTTCCTCCTTTGGCACTCCTGGAAGGTAGACTACCCTCAGTGTGGGCAGAGTGTGGGCGGAGCCAGTGGGGTGGGCAGGACTGGGGCAGTCTTGACTCCGCCTTCCTATGCACAGGTGACTGGCCTGTGACCAGCACTGGATGAGTCTCCACACCATCCCTACAGATTAAGAAACGAGAATGTTTTTATTTTGTGTGAGAACAGCGCATTTGCCAACTAGCCATCTGATGTATTAGAAGAACAAACTAAGGCTTCAGGAAGTAAGGACACCAAAGTAGGAGAGCAAAGGTAGGACCTGACCTTAGGGTCTAGGGCTTTCTAGCAGCACTTCTGCTTCCCAAAGCCCATGAGGATATGGGCTTGGGGCAAATACCCGATGGCATGATAGATTGTAGGTACAGGGAGAGTGGGCAAGACACAGCAAGCCTTGAGCTTTAGAATGAAATGCGTCCAGAAGACAGTACAGAAAACATACAAGGTTTATGTTGGACAGTGTCAGATAGAATCTTACCTTCTCTGTGTTAAGTTGTCAAATATAAAATGTGACACACACAGTCCACCCCAGCCAGGTGTGTGGCCTATGTGAAAGCATAGGTTCTCTCATTATAATTTTCCTGGGTAAGTGATAATGAAGGTAGTTCTCTACTTATTCCAAAGTTTTACTTTGATAATAAAATAGTATATCAGAAATTATTGTTCTTTGGAAAAATTTAAAAAGCCATACATGTAAAAGCTGATTTTGTTATTAGACTACCAAAAAACTTTCAAAAACTCACATTCTGGTGTACTTTACAGCCTTGTATACTATGGGAATTGTCTTCACCAATTTTATACAAGGTCTTCACCATGAACCATTTGCCTCCTGGGTGTTATTTTATAAATAATGTAATCCCATAAAAACTGCTAATACCTCCATAGCCCACCAAGTTTGTCTCAGTGCCAGTAGATGTCATCAGGATATGGATTGTGTGGGACAGACTGACTGACTGCTTATCGCTAGTGTCCAAGGCATGAAGCAGTGGATATAGACCACTGTATACCTCAGAATGCTGGTTCTCCCTTCTGAGTATTGTACTGGCTGTTTGGTGACTGCCTTGTGTCAAGAATGTCAAGATGAGCTGCGCTTGGTGCCAGGTGGTCACAGGGGCCGTCACTTCCTACTTTTAGGTATACTCCAAATCGGTAGACAGAATAAATAAAAAATAATGATAGTTTTCATCTGGAGTAAAATTAGTATTTATTACCCTTCTGTAATCCATCTGTATTGTATCTGTTTTGTGATGTTTGTGGCACTGCTTTTAGACACTCCTCCTTGGATGGTGAGGTAACATAAACAATGTCTTTCCCACTCACTGAATTTCTTGCTCCTGAAACAGACATTCGAAGCTGAATTACCTCTACTTTATATTTTTTGTTATACTTTAAGCAGCAAGTTATTTTTTCATTATGTAAAGTACCAACAACATTTGGGACTCTTTATAATTGAAGGCACTGAAGTTTACAGAGTGAATCATGCACACCAGAAGCAGCTAGAGAACACGCCTCCCAATGAGTCTCTTGCTTTTGGCCTTTCCTGAAGCCACCTCCCTCGTAATGTGACAGTGTATTTCAACCTGCAGTATGTATGTTCTTGACCTGTAAAATTCTTCTTTTAGGATCCACCTACTTCAGTGTCCCTTGGACTTCGAATGGAAGAAATGATTTTCAACTTAGCAGACACACATCTATTTTTTAATGACTTAGAAGTAAGTTCTAACTATTTTATACACACTTCATGTTGCATGTCTAAAAATAGGTGATTGGTCTTAAAAGACCAATGGGATTATGCTTTGAATATATAACTGGAATAAGGAGATAAATTAAATACCCTCACCTTCGTGGTATTTCTATTTTGCGTTATTTGTTTTAAAGTTAAGATGCACATGATCATTGATAAGGATTCCATTCTGGTGTCAAGAATCTTAAATATTAAACTGTTGATTACTAGAAGCTATAGATATCTTAGTCACATAATCTCTATTGAGATGGATTACTTTAGAATCTAACAGATACTTACAATATGCTGTCCTTGTCAGACCCTTATCATACTAGGTCAGATGCTTTTCTTTCTGGCTGTGTTTGTATAACATTTTAGTCAGGCCTCTGCTCTTTGGGCTGATACGATTTCTTATGCAAACTGCTGTTGATTTTATTTGCCCATTATAATTTGGGAAACTTCCATAGGTCAGCAAGTTCGATGTGTTATGAGTACTGATGAACACGACGATCTTGGCTAGTAGCATTCTTACTAATGAAAGAATATTGTTTCCCATATCTTCATTATGAGAAAACATGACTGTAACTGCATGTCACTGTCTTCTTAATAGAGACAGTTATTTATTTAAATCCTTTTTTTAAGCAAAATTGTGGTAGGGCTGCCAACAGGCATTAATCATCAAGTTTTTGTTTTGTTGGATTTTATAAATGTATGTTATTCCAGACAAAAGAATCTGAAAGATTCAACTAGAACTTTTACTGTTCAAAGTTAATTGGTAGCAATTGGCCTTTAAATATTTCCTGGTGTTTCTCTTTTCAAAATCAAGTAAGACGTGTCTTATTTAATAGATGAACCAACATGATTTGGAAAATGCCACTGTGTGACAGAACTTAAGTGTGGTTTGTTCATCAACTGCCCTGTATTTTGATTTTTTTTTCATCTGCCGTGAAACTACTCACAGACTAATTGGCAACTTCCACTGCAATAAAATTATTTAAATGTACTTCATTTTTTTTTCTTTTTTTTTTTTTACCATTGCTTAGTGATTTATTTTTACACTTAAGGTAAAATACAATTTTTTTTTTGCATTTTAAAGTGTTTGTTTTCCTTAAGGGAATTATATGTAAGGCATTACTATTTTTTAAAATAGAAATATTCCAAGTGAGTAACAAAATCAGAATTGCCTGTAGAAAGGCTTAATAATCATCTTATTTTCAAAGCTGTTTCTGATTTATGGTTGTGATTCACTTCATAAGAGAACAGCACAAAAAATTCCATATTTTACTTGTATGTTGAAATTCTTACCCTGAGTTTCCATTTGTTTCTAATGATATAGACTCGGCTGGTATTTTTGTCTTGGGCACAACCTTGTTACTCTCATGATGTTAATAGGTGTTAATGGCACCCATCAAGAAGAAATCAGCAGTAATTTGCTTTTGCTTTTAAGCTATACCTTCTTAAAAATGCCAGAGCTTGTCTACATAGTGCCAGGACTATGTGGTGAAAAGTGAGAAGTTAGGCAAAGTAGTAACTTGGTATAGTATAGACCAAAAAACTTGGTTTTGAGGCAATGCAGATGCATTTTTGTTTACTGACATTATTCACACTGAACTGTACATAGTGTCTGAAATAGTACTCAAATAAATATATTCAAAGTATATTAAAAGTTCTAAGTTAGGGATGTAAGGGATGTAGTTTTTCCATAAGCCCAAGTTTAAAAAAAGAAGAATAGGAGTCTACCCAGTTACTGAAATACCTGATTCTGTTCTTGGCATAAGGACTCTTTTTTATAAGAAAAGTAGAAAAAAAGAATGAGGTATAATTCCTCCAAGTATAAAACTCCATAGTGGAAAAATTACCTCATCTTGTAACCTTGCAAAAGTGAATATTAAGTTATTTTACTTGAGAATAAATAATACAAAGTTCTCAGCAAAAGTATAAATGAAAGATGCATTTAGCCTCTGTCTTTGGAAATTGTCACGTGTCCTAGATTTGCACATTTTAAAAATAAATTCATTCTTGTAATTATTACAATCTTTCATTTTATACTCTTGTAATTCAGCAAACCTGAGACTGGTTGTTGCAAATATTAGTTTCTTTCAAAATAAAAAGCAAAGCAAGCTTGTTTCTTGGGAAAAATAGCTACATTAGCTTAATACTCCTAAGGAAACCAGAATTATCTCATCAAGCAGAAATGATGTGGTAATGCCTGATTTCACACTCCAATTAGCAATGTTCTGTGGTAAGGGACATGAATATTTTAATATATTTATATTACATGTTTTTCGCTTCTTAAGATCTGTGGTACAAGTAATTTCAAGGAGATTAACAATCCATTGGTTAGCTTGTAGTGTGATTTCTGAAGTCTAATTGTTGACATTTGGCCTCGTTTTCTTTTAAAATTTTAACTTTTTGCCAGCTAACCCTTATATAATTTGGTTAGTTCACAGCTTTAGCTTATAAGAAATTCTGAATACTGAAATTCTGAATACTGAATACCATGTGAGGGGCTTCTAGGAACAATTCTTGTGTTATCAAAGTATTTGTTTAAAATGATGATTGGATCTTTAGAAAATCTAGGATATGATTTAAAAGTAACTTAGAACTATCTTCATTGTATTTTAAAGAATAAAACAATTAACCATTTTTAGTTTAAAAAGTTTTATTTATCATCTCACTTGATGACAATTTTTAATAGAAGCAATCACAACTTAAATGAATTCTGTCAACACCCCAGGAAAAAAATAAACCTTGTGTTTTTGTACCATTAAAAATGTTTGACATGTTAGGGCACATGAGTGACAAGGAGGTATAATTAACAAAGGAAATAGTATTTTCCCCCACCAGAGCAGGGTTTGGATGTTAGTTCCGTAGTGTAGTCCTGGCCTTCCTATTTCTAAATCTGACTAACGTCCTGCATATCATTTTACCAAAAGGTCTCTGCGTGCAATATGATGATGCTTATGTGGAAGTCATTTTTTATGAATGACAGTATGGGACCAGTTTTTTCAGCTTCTTTAGTAAAGTGACTCCTTCTGACTGAATGGAGAAGGAGTTCTTTCTGTTGGATTTTACTGAAAGGCAATCTGCAAAGAGAGTGAGGACAGGCCTTCAGTATATGATGATGTTTCCGTTTCACTTGCCGTTGGTCAGTTTGCCTGCTAGATTTTTCCACAATTAAAGAAAAATATTTTATCAAGATAGATAGAAGTCTACATAAACATAAAGCATAAGCTTCAGTTGAATTTTCTCTTCTGTCTGGTGTTAAGTAATATCATTTTGCTGGCGTTACAGTTGCTGTGCTGACCTGTGTTGTTGACAGTGGTGGCTACACTCCAACCCCTGGAGTGATGGGGGCTGGGAGGTAGCAGAAGCCCACCTTGTTTTCTGTGAGGCACAGACTGCATGTGTTGTGCACAGTGCAATCACCTAGTTAAGTGTGAAGCTGCATTGTACCTCGGCTCATCAGTCTCCAAGTGCATTGGTTAATTGGGACAGACCTGAGGATTCTCTGGTGTCAGGATTTACAATGTGAATACTGCCGCCCTTTCTTAGGCCTTTGATATGTAGACTCCTGATCCAGGGGGCGTTTAGCACCTGCTCTTGTAGCCCCTTGTTTTCACCTTTCCTATTAATAAAAGTTCTGGGTCAAAAGGTTACACTCTCAGCAGAGCCTGAGTTTAATGAGTCAAAGGCCAAGGAAAGGATCTGTGGGCAGTCTCTAAGCAATGCCATAATTTAAAGAAAGTAATGATTTTTCTTATAAAGCGAAGACAGTAGTTTGCCTCCCCAGCTCCCCCCACACCCCTGTTTTAATAAAGTCTTTAAATTTGCTATATTTTATTACTCCAAAATTTAGGTTATCATCTGTTAATTATTTTACTGTATCTTGTTTATAAATTTATTTTTAGCTAGGAAAAAAATCATTCTTCAAAATATCAGTTATGCCAGTGCTAAGAAGCTTCAATTCCAAGTGTGGGATGCATAATGACCTAATGCTCATGCTTGCAAAATTGTAAATGTTGTAAACTAATTCAGAAGTTGATTGAGTTGAAAAATATAATTCATCCAGACAGTGCTTTATCTCTATAAATAAACAGAAGCAACTCTGATTCCCAAAGTCCAGCTCTTGTGTGGCTGCTAGAAGCTCTTGTTCTCTTCTACTAGAAGAGGGGTCCATAGGTGCTCATAAAGAAGATGCTTCAGGAAGAGCTGTAGCTCTTTTCTGTTCTCAGTCCCTTCAACAGTCAAGGATAGTTTTATGAAGGTGTGAGGGTGTATTAGGTCAACTACATTTCAAACATTAGTGTACTCATGTACATATACACATATATGCCACTTGCCATGTTCAGGTTTGTGCATCCTTCATAAAGCACAGAACCTTGCCTTATACATGTTGACCATGAAGTGAGTATTTGTTAGATTGAAATCTTAGAAAGGGAGAGCAATTTCTTTCCTTTCTCATGGGAGACAGTGGAGTTGACTTGCCTATGTTTTAAGGTAAATTGCTTGGCCTTGTCCCTTTCCTTAGTTAAGAAGAGTAACATTCAAACCCTCAGTTTAGGAAGCACAATAAGTTCTTCAAGCAACAAACGATAATTAGACATAATAAATGTGAATTGAATTTTACTATATTGTAATTGATGGCCAAAAAGAAGCAACCTTATTTTCGCCATTAATATTACTATTGAATAATTTTAAGTGTTTTTCCTATTTCACTATTTCTTACAAGATTCTATCGTTTTTATTTTATCTGAAATAAAAAATAGAAATATAAAAATATATTTAAAGACTTCCTTAATTCTGTTGTTCATCAGAAAGTTAGGAGTCAAAGTATATACTATTTAACATAATAAAATATATTTACCTTATGCCAACAGTCAACATCGCTCTTATCAGTAAAGTAATAGAAGCAAATTGTCAATACAAAGGGAAACAAAATATGAATACCTTCTTTCAGCTCTATTATCAACATCATTCCAGGGATTTGGGGTGGCACAATAAAACCTAAGTTGTATAATTAATAAAATAAAAGATTTCAATGTTTGATTTTTGCAGATTTGAAATAAATAGAAAACTGAAGACAATCTGAGATAGTCTTTTAATTTACACTAGGCTTCCAAAAAGTGAAGGATTACAGAATCACATTTTAAAAATCAATAATCTTTTTATATGACAGCCAGACATATAGAAATTTTTATTAAATTATAATTTTAAAATAGCAGTAACTATAGCACACACACACACACACACACAAAATCAAAACAGGAAAGATAAGAAGTAACCTATATATTTGTAGGAAATAAATGAATAAAATTCTGACAACTTATTGACAGATCTAAAGGAAGATTTGAATGAAAGATTTCTTCCTTTTCTGTTTTGTAATATGACCAATTTGTTTTAAGGTCCATATGAAAGGATAAGCAGACAAAATGAGCATCTAGCTCTACCAAATATTAAATGTTTTATGATTCTGCAATGATATGAAGATTTACGTTGGCCTAATGTTGACATTGGACTAACAACTCTGGGAAGAGATAGCTCAGACACAGATCCAACTTGTAGAAAAATTTGTGTGTTAAATAAAACCAAACAAATTAACAGTGAAGAATGGATTATTCAACTTGTATGCAGAAGTTGGTCAATTAAAAAGTTAAAATATAAAAGACTCAAACACAAGGAGAAAATGCAGGTAGATGGAAAGGAGATCTACTTCTTTGCTTCTGGGAAGTAAGTTTTTAGATAGTCATTTGTCCATAAGCATCAAGAACCTAAAAAAAAGGTTGATGCCATTTGTACTAATTATATACATATAGGAATTTTTAAAATAAAAGCAAATGCCCATGGTAATAAACATTTCTAAATTATGGAATTCTGATCATGTTTTGTTTCTTGACCTGGGTGCTGGTTACATGAGTATGTTTCATTTATGAAAACTGATCGAGAGCTAATATGTTTTTCAATAAAAAGTTAACTTTTAAAAAGTAGTATTAGGGGGAATGTATACACACATATAGTTTGCTCTCAATTCTGTTAAAAAAAAAAGTGTATGTCCTATGCATAAATATTCAACTGCTATTTTTCTAACACTGTACATGGCCCATAGAAAGCACCCAGTATCTATTCACTGAATAATAAATAAATGGAAAAACAAAAATTATATGAAAAGATAAACTCTAGAATTTTAATATTGGTTGTATCTGAGATTTGGGGTTTTATTATTTTCTTATTTGTATTTTTCTATATATTCCAAATTCTCTGTGTTTCTTTTGTAATCAGGGAAGAAAGCAAATGCTATTTTTGAAAGTCATAGATAATATTAAAGGACAAAGCTATTTTTAACCAATAAAATAAGTAATATTTCAACTCATTAAGAAAAACAAAGACATAGCTCAAAAGAGATATGACAGACAATTCATAAAAGTGTTCAAACTGTCAATATACATAAAGAAAGGAAAAATATTGGATTTCACTTCTAGTTACCAGAAATGTGAAAGAGTAAGTATTCAGCCTCTTGCCCACTAAGTTAGCAGATTTAAAATTGGTAATATGGCCTGCAATGTAGTAAGATGAACATTTGCTTACATTGGTGGTAAGAATATAAATTGGTACAAGTTTTCAGAAAAGCAGTCTGGTAATATGTGTTCAGAGCTTTAATGTACTGATCCACTTAAGCTTCTATTCTTTTACTCAGAAATTCCACTTTTAGTTTCTATTCTAAGAAAAAAGCTGTAGACAGATAAGTGATATAATAGTAATAAGCATTCACTGAACACTTGTCCTAAGTGCTTTATATACATTATTCCACTTAATGCCCTGACATTCTCTGATAGAAGCACATTATTATCTACATGTTTTGGAGGAGCCAAGCAAAGCTTAGCATTCTTAGAATAAAACTTAGGTCACACAGCTACTGAGAGGCAGAATCTAACACAGGTTGACGTTTTCTTAGCAGTCTACACAATCCCATGCTAGATCTGCCACATGGTATTTTTTGCCACAGAAATACAGAAATATTTTAAATACCTAAAAATGGATTAACCAATTAATGAAAAAATAATTGTAGTACTTCCTCACTGAAAATTCTTTTTAAGACTTTTAACATTCATATAGGGGAAACATTCATGGTCCATTTCAAGTTTTAAAACATAAGCTATATGATACAGTGTAGCCTTAATGTTAAAATTTATGGCATAATATCTGAAAAGGCTATGTATTGTATGATTCCAACTATTTGACATTCTGAAAAAAAGCAAAACTATGGAGACAATGAAAAGATCAGTGCTTGCCAGGGGTTGGGGAGGAGAGAGGGGGAATAGATGGAGCCCAGAGGACTACTGGGGCAGTGAAAATATTCTGTGTGATGCTATAGTAGATACATATCATTATACATTTGTCGAGAACCATAGACTGCCCACCATCAAGGGTGAATGTTAGTGCAAACTGTGGACTTTGGGTGATGACAATGTGTCACTGTAGTTTCTTTGACTGTAATGAATCTATCGCTCTGGTGTGAGATGTGGATAGTAGGGGAGGTTAGGTATACATGGGATAAGGGACATATGGGAAATCTCTACCTTCTGCCCAATATTACTGTGAACCTGATGTTTACCTAAACAATGATGTTTACTTTTTAAAAGTATGTGTATATTAAAAGAAAACTAAAGGGAAATGTATTTTTAAAAGCTACTATGATATAACTTCAAGTTTAAAAACAAGTATACAAAATGAATGATACTATATGATCCTGATTTTAGCATCTATAACATGCTAAAAAAACAACTAGAGGTAAACATATTAAGAGGCTGCCAGAGCATTTTGTAATCTCTTTATACCTGTTGCTACTGTGCTTCATTAAATAGTAATAAATATTTATTGAGTAACTATTAAGTACCAGGCACAGTTCTAGATGCTAAGGATACAGTGATGATTTGGTCAAGGTTATTCTCCTCATGGAGTTGGCACTCTGGAAAGGAAGTAGGAACTAAACATGAGGCAAATAAAATAAGTTCAGGTAGAGGAAAGTGCTGTGAAGAAAATCAAACAGTAATTGGATAAGGGATGGTTCAGAGTGGAGCATCTTTAGCTGACATGCTCAGGAAGAGGTTTTTCTGAAGAGAGGACACTTGTGAAGAAACCAGAATGTTGGAAGGGAAGCAGCTGCAACCGCAGGAAATCATTCTGGAGGGGGAATGGCAAGTGCAAAGGCCCTGTGGTAGGAATGTGTTTCACTTATTCAAGAAATAGACAAGAAGATCAATGTGGCTGGAACAGAGTGAACCAGGAAACAGTGACAGAGTCCATATCAGGAAGGGCCTTGTAGACTGTGGTAATGACATTGGGTCATTTTTGGAATTGCAGTGGGAAGCCATTAGAGAGTTTAAAGCATGGACATTATAGTAGCATTTACACTTTTAAAAGACTGTTCTGGTTATCATATGAGGAATGGGGCAAGAGGGGAACCAATCAGGTCATTAGGAGATTGTTGCAGCCAGCCAGGGAGCTTGGGGCTGAGGCTGCAGCCATTCTATGCATGGTGAGAAGTTGCAGGATGTGCGGTATAATTTGGTGGAAGCACTGGGAGGATTTGCTGATAGGTCAGATGTGGGAGGAAAAGAGAAGCAGAATCAAGGATAGCCACAAGGTGTGGACCTGGCAACTGGATGAATGGTCACATTACCTGGGATGAGGAAGAGGGGTTTGTGGGGGCAAGGCAGGAGGAGGAGTTGTACTCAAATATTCTGCATTGGGCATATTAGGTTTGAAATATGTATTCAACATCTAACTCAAGAGATTATGCACAGGAAGGTTTGGATTTCAGAGAAAAGCAAATGTGAAGATAGAGTTTCAGGATTCATAAAGTCATGAGACTGATAGCATCCTATAGGAGAAAGTGCAAAATTGAGAAGAGGGCCTAAGGCAGAGCATTAGACACTATAATCGTTAGAAGTAGGACCAAGAGAGAAGAGCTTTCAGGAGAGAGTGGTAGATAATGAAGTAGGTGGAAAAGTACGA